CGAGTGCATGTTTCATTTCTTTCTTCCTTTAAGTTGTTATTAAAATGTTACATTCCTACAGAGGACTTTCCTGATGCATGAATTTGTAATATTACCCATACTCTGCCCAGTCTGTCTTTGTGTGTGTGTGTGTGTGTGTGTGTGTGTACACATGTGATCTTTGCTTATGCCATCTAAGATATAGCACATCTGTCTGTGGTCAAGGCATACATATAAACATAGATAGAGACATGCACACACAAACACATAAGTGTGTATTTGTTAGGAGATAAAATCTCTAAGGAATATCTTTCCCTAGCACATACATTTCTTTTTGGAATAAGTGAATGCATGCCAAGTTGATGCTAACATTTGGTGATTTAACTTTTACTTTATCACAGAAGTCTCTGTCCATTTAAAAAAGTATTTCCAGGCCGGGGATTCAGCTCAGTGTTTCAGTGGCCTGCCTCGCAAGCGCAAGGACCCGAGTTCGATCCCGGTACCAAATAAATAAAAAATAAAAATAATACAAATAAAAAAGTATTTCCTTATGAATTACAATTTAAAAAACAAAAACTCCCCAGATCTTTCTCCAAGTCTCATTGAGTCAAATCCTCTTCACTTTCCTGCTTTTCTTCCTGCGTTTTGCTCTGCTTCTGAATCAACAGCCCCAGCCATGTCCTTCCTGTTGCATGGCTTCCACTTAGCCTGTTTTATTTTCCTTCTGTTTTGTTTTGTGGTACTGAGACCCAGGACTGGGGAGGGCAAAATTCTGGGCCCTAGTACAGATCAGTATGATTTGTTTTCCTCTATAGATTATAGACTTGACTCAAAATCATGTTTCCATCAGAAGTTGAAGTCATTTTTCTTCCACCGTTGCTGACATGAACACACCTGTTGTGATTCATACTGTGATCCTGGGGGATGTAGCATTTCAGACGATTTTTAATTTCCTCTATTCATCTCCAGTGCTGAGCCCGCCTGTGCGCCTTTCTGTGTTCATTTTACTCATGACAACATTGTATCTGAGCCCTTTACTCTGGAATTCTCAACTTTGATTCTGGAAAAATGATGATTTTCTTCCTTTGGGTTTTTCAGTTCTCTACTTCTTGAACTCTATGTGGTTTGATGCTGAATTTCCTGGGAATAAAATTCTCACATTTAAGCACATATGGGAATCACTTGGAAGAAATATTGAAACCAGTTGCTGGGCCCCAACTCTAGAATTTCTGATTTGGTAAAATTTGTATTTATAACAGTTTCACAGATAATGCTGATGTTACTAGTACACGTACAAAATTTTAAAAAATAATAGTCCTAGACCAATTCTTAAATTGCTCTATCTTGTATCTTTTGACAAAAAGTATCTGAATTTTGCACTTTCTTTTCCTTTTGCCTGGCCTGCTGGGCCCTAGATATCTAGCTCGATCACTACCTTTCTAGCTTATGTTTTCCCTTACCACGGAGGTCTCCTGTCATCATCCTATCTAATATGGTGCCACAGATAGAAATGATACACGGATGCACTCACATGCCATTCAGTTCCACCCCTTCCTCCAGCTCTGTCTCCAGACTACTTCTAAAATGCTATCATGTTATTATACATTTTCTTCACTATTTATCTTCCCTGTGAGAGTGTAAGTTCCAAAAGAACAGAGGATTTGCTCTATTTTCTTCTCTGCTGTCAATTTGTGACTTCTGCAGTGACCATTGCTGTCTTATGTGAGACTCCACTGTCAGTCTGGGGTGTATTATTTTCTTCTTGGGCCACTTTCCCTAGGAAGTATTACTCTACCTGAAGGCTTATAAGATGAACATCTAATATCCTGGGGGTCAGGCCAGTAAAAGGCCTGGGGAGTCATGCAGCACAGCATGTGGACTAGTGTCTGTTTTATGTGGGTGCCTCACTCCTGCTCTCAGCCACACCTAGCATTTTGTAGTCTGCAGCTCCCCTGGTCCTGTTCAGTTTACTGCTGTTTTAAGGGGATAGGAAGGATCAATTCCCCATTCATGGGATCACTTAGTTTTCTTTTTATTATCACCACATCACCAAGTGGGAAAAGGTGAAAATCACAGCTTTGTGTCTAATTGGTCTGATTCGTGCAGGCCTTTTAATAACACCTCTGGCAGAGCATTTCAGTTATTTGACAGTTTGTGCAGTAGACAACGCATTTCCCGAGTGTGAAGCATTTAAACGTGAAAGTCTAAGGTCAGTTCTCACACACCTCCAAGCAAAGGAGGGAGGTATTTTCCTGCCCACTGATTAAGACATGGGCTGAGGAACACGGAGAGAGGGGATGGGATATGTTTGCCTGCGTGTGTGTGTGTGTGTGTGTGTGTGTGTGAACTCTCTGCTGCAGTACTGGGAAGGTGCAGGGATTGCTCACAAAGAAGGCTGTGGAGGACACAGCCCTTGCGAGCTGGAGCTGGGTGTGAGAGCTGAGCGAATGGATGCCGGGAGAGCTGAGCCAGCCTTGACTGCATCCACTAAATCCTTCTTCTTCTTCTTCCTCTTCCTCTTTCTCCTCCTCCCCCTCCCCCACCTTCTCCTCCTATTTGCAAGGAAGTTGTGGACACCACTGAGCTAAATCCCTGGCCTCTTACACTTATTATTCAGTGGTCCAATAGTGCAGAGATTCAGTGGTTTTCTGATATTTTCGAATTCACATAGCATGTTTAAGAGCTTTGTAAATATTTCATGTAAGCGTGGAAGGCATACAAATAGGACTTAGTCCATCTGAGTAAGGTCGTGACTTTTATAGAGCTATAAGAAATAAAGGGAGTAAACTGCTTTTGTTTTAAAATTATTCATTAAATGCGAAGAAGAGAGGACCTTGTTAAAATGCCTTTTAGTTTAATTCCCACCACTATTCAGAACTTCTACCATAGCTTTGTTATTCAGTTGGCTTAATTAAAGCCAGGATTAAAGAGACATATTAAAAGGTTCCTGAAGCACTGCTAGAGGTGGATTCAAAACTATACTTGGAGTTGTACATCATCTCCCCGCAGGTGCTAATTTGCATGTAGCACTCAGGACTTTTCTGCTGAAGCAGGAATATTCTTCCAGAGCTGCGGCCAGTTACTCTTGCAGTCAGTTCCCGACACACAGAGTCCGTCCTCTGAGCTAAGGCATCGCTTACGCATTGAGAATCTGCCTTTGCCTCCCTCCGATACTGGGCCACCTCCTACTTGTGAATCTGCCCTTGCTGTGATAAATGCAGGGAGGTTAGGAGTTTCCCCAGTGGCTTCTCTCCAAACCAAACGGATCCCTTTCTGTTCCTTCAGCCCTCCGTTCTCATTGAATGGCCTGAAAAGCCACCTCCCAAACCTAGAGGAGCATTAAAATCACCCTGGGAGCCTCAAAATATACAGATGCTCTGCCTCCGCCCCAGACCAGTCAAAGCTGACGCGTAGCATCGGTCCTAAGTTTAAATCGCCCCGTGTGAGTCCAGTGTGCAGCCACAGTTGGAAACACACATGTAAGACAGGAGAAAGACCCACTGGAGACAGGGAGAGATTGGGTCTCCCCCACATCATGGGGGCAGGCCCTCCGTTCCATCTAGGAATTTCTCCTTTTACTTTCTTCATGTGTGCTTGGTCAGCCACCAGTTTGGGGCCACAGTGGGGTGAACTCAGAGCCTGAGACATCTTATCTGGGCTCCAGGAGCAGCTGTTTGGTATAATTTGAGCATATTCGGAAAGGAAACCTTTGTACCTTATAGAATCTGAGAAGTAAACTTTCTGCTTGCCTCATAGCGCGGCTGTGAACAGGAGCAGCAGTTAGCTCCTGCGTTTCCAGGTCATGCTTTCCACCTCCCTGCCTCAAGCTTCCCAACTAGTTAATTTCTGAGTGTCATCTGTGTATTTTAGTACATGGAACTCAACCTTTTTTTCTGGTACCGGGGATCGAACTCCATACCTTGTGCTTGCGAGGCAGGCAACAGAACTACGGAGCTAAATCCCCGGCCCTGGAGCTCAGCCTTTTGCAAGAGAGGAGAGAATAAGAGATGTCATGACTGGCCTATTTTGTTCCCTTCTATTCTGTAAAGTAGCCCTTGAGATCATATCTATTTATTCACTTAATCCACTGAAGGGTCCACTCAGTCATTTAAGGTGAAGGGACGCAGTGAGACATCTGTCCAGTCCGTCCATGGGAGGATGACGAATTTGTGGCTGTCTTCTTTAGTGTCATGGTTGGCAGTGTGTGCATAATCGAGTCTAAAAATTATATATACTGCATGAATTGAATGATTTTTTTCTTGAATTTACATAGAAATACAGAGTAAAACCTCGTATTTAAATTCTAATTGGTCTTGAGTGTCTCATGCTATTGGACTCGGTTTAGGTTTAGGAGGTATCATGTCTCTCTAAGGAAGAGATTTCATTTCAATGTGGTAAGAATTAGGAAACTTTTCACTGTTCTTATTTTGGATTGGTCAACTTTTAACTAAACACCCTCAGTAACTACCTTCAGTGTCACTGTAAAATCAGTTAAATTGTCGAGCATGTGTGTTTTAAAAATCTTGTCTAGATCTAGCATTGCTGAGTGGTATAAATTGGGTATTAAAGTTTTTTTCTTTTAAATTTTATATGGTCTATGAGTTTCATAATTGCAAAAAATGTTAATATAAAATTATAAGTCATGAAGTATGCTGGTGAATTTTAAATATAGTAACCAATACAAAGAATTTATACGCTTTGAATTCACAGGTAATTTTTAGCTGTTCATATGTTTACTGAATTTTAACTGCCATAATCAACTATTCCTATAGGCCGAGTTCAAGAACTTCAGTTTTCTTTTCAACAAAAATCTGCAAGTGAATTATTTATTTAGGAACAGTGTGTCATTTTTAAACGTTTGAATTGCAGGAATTATAAACAATCGAGTGATATAATTCGGTGTTCCTAGGTTCCAGGCACAGTATTAATAATTCTCCCATTTAACGTGGGTCTGTGTAGCTCTGAGTGGACTGCGCTAGGGGGCGCGCTAAAGCCAGACTCTCACCTGGGACCCTTTTCAGTTTCTTGGCAGCACAGAAGTGGAGCAGCCAAAAGGGACAGAAGTTGTGCGAGATGCGGTGCGGAAGCTAAAGGTAAGTTTCCAAGAACTGTCTGGAAACCAAAGCATTGTGTAGCTTTATGGCGGGTACAAGTTCAGCTAGTGAAAAATGGACTGTTGAATAAATATCATGGGATCAAGGAGCCGTTTTAAAAAAAAACGTTCACACTACTATATTTCCCGTAAGGCATATGATTATTTTTAGTGTCTAAGGTATGGCTGCCCATTATCAGTAAAACCGTCTAGAGGTGACATTTCATAAGTGTTGGTGCTCAATAACGAGGCTTGGCTTGCGAACTCAGGCCCTGTCTCAGTGACTGGCAAGAACAGGCCAACTGCCTCACGTCCAGCAGCTGAAAATGTAGAGAGAGAACGCGCTGCAAAGCAGGATTTCACAGTGGTGCGATAGAGTAAGGGTGCCCAGATGGACAAACAAGACGATTTGGCCTGCCCTGCCCTTGAGCAGCCAAGGGGGACCTGGTGACCGTAAGAGAACCAGAGGAGGACACTGAACATCCAAACAGGAAGTTCCCGAAGCAAATCTCACATGAGACGCCACAAGGACTTTCCTGTCCGTTCCCCATTTCAAAAGACAGCGGGATTTTACAAAGAGAAAACTCTTCCAACAAGGTTCTCATCTTTACACTATCGAAACTCGACTTGCTTCTTGGTTTACACAATTACTTGTTGTTCTGAAGGCTGCGCTCACAAACAACCTGTCTCTAATTTTATTTGACATAAGGACCCCCCAGGTGTTCCCCAGGAGGATTAGTCTCCTGATTGTTCTGGGCAAAATCATGGACATTCAAAAACATTACTTGGTTTCATGGATGCCATAGGTGGAAACTATTCAGTGTTTAAGGAAAATTTAAATGGTGTAGTTTATATAATGAGCAAAGGAGAAATGTAGGTAATATCTCACCTGTTCATTTTGTAGACAGATATTTTATCTGATTCTTTTAATTAAACGTGCTAAAGTTTCCCAAGAAAACATTAGTCTCATTTAAACATTTTTATTTTTACTGGTACATGTTCACAGCACATAATGACTACATTTGTCACGGGTGCATTGGTACATGTGTAGGGCAGATCTTAGTTCTTTTTTTTTGTGGTACTGGAGTTTGAACTCAGGACCTTGTGCAGAATCACTCCTCAGGCGACAGAACCACTGAGCTAAATCCCTGGTCCAAATCCTAGTTCTTTTTAACACACACACACACACACACACACACACACACACACACACACCTCCTCTCTCCATCGCTTGGTTCCTTTCCCATTTGAAAAAGATTTATCTCCCTGTTTCCTGTGATCTATTGTTTATTTTGCTCTCTGATTTATTTCTGCTTTGGCTTCCTTCCTTAAAGAGAGACCATGAAATATTTGTATATCTGATTTATTTCACTTAATGTTATGGTCTCAAGGTGCACCTGTTTTGGTGCAAATGATTTAAACACATAAAAACAAGTGGACTAGCAAGCCATTTCTTTCCACTACTCATTAGGTAATAATTCAGATTTTTCCTTGTTTGCCCAATAGTTTTAATCATCACTAGCAAACTTAAAGGCCTTGCAGTTTCTGGATAACACTTAGAATAAGATTATATTTAAATGTTTTGAAAACATTACAGATTGTGGGCATTTGCCCAACTTCCCTACAATCTGAATGTTCTATGAAAAAACTAGCGTTTATACGTTAGGTTTCTTTATGTTGAGAGGGTTATTTCTTCAGTCAATCCAAATGTAAAACCAAAAGACTTTAATTATATAACCACCATGTCAAACGTAAAAAGATATTTGAAATTAAATGCTTTCCAAACAATTGCTAGTTTACATATATTTTTGTTGGATTTTATATGGGGCTCTAATTTCACACTTGGAATATATGCTCTGTTTAGAAAGCAATTTAAGGTCAGTTAAAAATCATGCAGTATAATTTTAAAATGCATACTTGTCTGATATTAATTTTTGTCTCTCAAGTGTCTTTCAAAGTAAATATATATTTTAAAATAATTTTTACTCTTCTAATTGCAATATTTTGTATCAGAAAAGTGTATCTAAGGGCAGAGATTCTGGTACTAATTAGAATGAATAAAAATGATTTTAATTATTTTTATTGTGTTTTCTAAAATTTGTGTCAGAAGTCAGAGGCTACCACTCCAGGTATACCAAGAATATCTGCAGTTATCTTTGCAACATTGACCCAGGTTGCTTTTTAATTTTTTGTTGTGTGTGGAATTGGCCAGCAGGTGGTGCTATGGATCTACTGAAAAGGAATTTGTTTCTTAACCAAGTGTGAAAAAATTCTTGATTTTTCTGCGTGTTTTTCTCAAACAAATGATTCTGACAGTTTTAAAACCTACTGTGGTTTAGTATTTGATTTTCTTTGACAGATAACATAGCATTTTATTCACATTTACTTCTTTTTAGAAAAGATTGTAATTTTAAATGCATTTGGCTTCTGCAATTAAGAATTCAAAATTTAAGAATACAGCTGATACCAATAAACTCAATTAAAGCTGGAAAAAAAATAGATTTTTCATGACTCTGTGTTTCGTGATGCTTGCTTTTTACTTCAGAGAATTTTTTAAACTTTGACGTTTTATTTAGTATTTCTCTGCCATTTTATGGCGAAGGTATAGTTTATAAAGTTTTCTTCAGTGTAATAATTTTATAAGCATTGAAGTTTTACTCTCATGTTGTTTGTCAGAAGGCCATGTTTCCTATTTGTTAAAGCATTTCAATAGCTTCTAATATTTCTTAACCATATTTTAGGCTGACTTTTAAGAAATACCAAATATTTCAAACTGTAGTAGAGACCTTATCAGCTATTGGGTATTTAATAGCTTTACTACTATAATGAGTATCCTCTTCCATGGTGATTTATCTGTTTTTATCCACGTAAGTCATACAGATGTCAGAGGGCTCTATTTCATAAACAGCTTGTGATGTTTCCTCATGAAAAGCTGTGGCGTGCAGATTGGAAAGTTGTCAGTTTTCCTGGGACTCAAGCAGGGGCAGCCCTCCCAGGCTATGCTTTTAGAAAGAGCTTAATTAAAATTAATTAAAGTCACTTTGGGGAAGTAGGGCTTTTGAGAATCACTGTCCCTTTAGTCTCAGCAGGGCAGCTTCTCCATTAGATTTTACTCTGTGAAGTGTGACCCGTGGTTGGCTTCACAACTGGTATTTTATAAGATGTTTACAGCTTAATTATATTGTATGCAAATGTAGTTGATTTACTCTCATGACTGCTAGAAATACTTTGAAAATTTAAGTGTCAGAAACCCAAAGAGGAATAGTAGCTCCAAATAATTGGCCTAAAGTAATAAACTAATTTTCTTGACTAATAATGTATGTCCCATTAGTAATATAGTTAGAGTTCACTTTTTAAAAAGTCCTTTGAGAGATGGATAGAAATTGTGTAAGAGTGACACTGAAATTCAGTATTCTTTCATTAGCAGTTCTATGATGATGATGCCTCTTTAACTAAGTTTTTACTTTTCAGATAATACTTCGTACTTCAAATAATCCTTTATCCTTTACGGTAACAAAGGCTTTGCTTGTTGGTTGTATCTGAATACTATCCAGGATGTTTATGTTTCATTCCCCTTGAACATTTTCTATTAGAGCATTATATTCAAGGTTTGATGGTATATCATCTGTCCATCTAGATCTACCAAGAAATGAATCCGCAGACCCATTCTTCAAGCATTAGTGTAAATACAGGGAGAAGGCAACGTAAGATAAATTGATCAGCGCATCTTCTAGTGCTGGAGTTGCACCCCGGACCTCCACATTGAGCTGAGCCCCTCCCCTCTTCTCTCCTCATTTATATCCTTCGTTAGCCCTCCTGTGTGTTACTTTGCTACCACCAGACCCTGCTTTCTTCCATTCCGTCCTTCTCAACAGATGTGTTTAGTGTCACTGCTTGTTATATGGCAGGCTTTTTGAACACTAAACAAATCCTTGTCCGAGGTCACAGACACGGCTGTGTTCAGATATCGGTGACCAGGCCTCAGGAGCCACCGCCTATTTTGTCTCTGGACAGCACAAGCCCAGAGGACGCATGTTTAGATTGGTTCTGTCAGCCCGCAGTGGAACTTGCTTTGCTCAGATAATTTTACGTAGATGAAGAGCAGTTTCAGCCCGACATTGTTTAAATTCACCAAGGCAAGGAGGAGTTTAAGAAGGAAAAAGAAAGTTAATACGCATTCTCTTTTGGGAGAGTGGGAATAATTTTTGATACACATTGAAGCAGTGCGTATTTCTTAAAGACGGAAAAAGAAAATTCTCCGGCACAAGTTGGTTGAATCGTGCGCAGAAGGCAAGACTGCTGGCTACAGAATAAGGGAGGAAAAGTGGTCTATGTTCAGGAAGCGGCAAGCTGAAAAATTAAACCACCCCACAGGGAAGAGGACAGATGGCCCCGCGGAGTACGAAGGCGGAGGCTGAAGGCCCCCGTGTGCACTGATGGTGTCTCGTGGCAGGAGAAAGGCGTGAAAGGAGCAGAGCGCTTTGAATCTCCCTGCTCCAGAACTGGACGAAACCACGTGCACGCACATCTGCCCGAAATTAGAGTGGAAAGCACGATTCAGATAAGCCTGATGTACGAAAGGACGGGGTCCCGGCCCGCTTTCCATGCGATCTAGGTTGAGTCATGGCGGTGACTTTCCGTGTGCTGAGAAGGCTTTTACAGCAGTAAATGACTTCTGAAGCCTGCAGAAGAGGCATGAACATCCTACCTAATAGATTTTCTCTCTTTTTCTAAAAAGAGAGATGGGGAAAGGAAGCGAGAGTGTAGGAAACCTGGAAAAAACAATAAGCTTTGAATTTAAAATTAACAGTAACCTTTTAAGAAGGCGGCACATTTCTATTAATCATCACATATATTTTGTGTATCATATGTGTATATTGTATGCATGTAGGTTGTCTACAAAGGTTTAAAATACATTAATTATTTTAAATTGAAACTTAACTGGGCTCCTATAATTTTCCCACCACTAAATCTTTCAAAGCTGGTGAGGGGTAAAAACGTCATTTAAGTGCATGAGTATTCTTATTTTCTTGTTTGTTTTATAACGGTGCCTTACATGCATTTATATTCACTTAACTCAGTGAAAAGATATAATAAATCCTCTTCTGAAAGCACTGAAAAAGTGTTACGTTTTCAGGATATTTATTATAATTCTAGACTGTGGGTTTTATTTATACCTGAGTCTGTTAGGTGGTATCATCATGTCCACGCTTAGCTTTGGTTTGAATATGGTAGTCTTGTCTCTTTTCATTCATGGATATGTTTGGAGTAAAACCAAGTCAGCACTATTCATTAAGTAGCTATTTAATAACAGCAAAGATAGCAAATCCAACTGCCAGCAAATTGTGAGTTCTCCAAAGGGACTGAAAACAAAAGATGCACAGAAAAATAAATTTATCTGCTTTATTAGCCCAGAAAGTGTCCTTCATTTGCTGCCATTTAATACAAATTTAGTTTTACAAGTATCCTGAAAGAACTGCAAAAGTTCTGTTTTTCAAAAGTGCCTGAAAACCAGTCTGAATTATAATGGTAGATTTCTGTGAATACTAAATATTTTGGGATTGTTCTTAGAAAATATTTTATAACGGGCAACAATTCATTTAACTAATGTCTGACATTGAATATAACATCCAAATGTCTATTTGTTTGTGCTCATTCTCCACAAAAACAGTTATAGTCTTGTGAATAATTTTTCATTTGTAGTTTGCAAGACACATCAAGAAATCTGAAGGCCAGAAAATTCCTAAAGTTGAACTGCAAATATCAATTTATGGAGTAAAAATCCTAGAACCCAAAACAAAGGTAAACCTTATTTTTGAGTATCTTGTCATTATATGCTTACTGTTTTAATGAATACTTAAAGTTTACTACCAACCTGAACTGTTCAGTTCTTAGTTAATTATGACTAAAAGTGCTAGGATTTTAGTGGAATGGCTCTCAGAATTTCTTTATGAGTAGTCTGTTCTTCCCCGTGGTTTGAACATATATTCGGTGTATTCACTAGTGTCAAAACTTGTATTTAGAAAATTTTCAGGGATGTGAAAGAGATGAGAGTGTACTTCACTGAGTGCAAAAGAAGACAAAAGCTGTGCTGCTTTGAAATACCCTGCACTGATTCTTATCACCTACAGACACTGGAGTGTCGTATTAGTTTTCTAGGCTGCTATACAAAATACCACAAACTTGGTGGCTCAAACAACAGAACTTTGTTTCTGGAGGCTGAAACTTCAAGATGCAGATTCAAGACGCAACAGGGTCTTTCCTTCCCTTGGCTCGCAGGTGGCGGCCATTGTGCTTCGTCTTCATAAGGTTGACCCTCTGTGCACACGGTAGTGACTCTTACAGCTTCTACTTCTCACAAAGATGTCAGATTGGATTAGGAACCATACTCATGGCCTCGTTTCAACTTAATTACCTTTTTAAAGGCTATCTCTCAAGCTGAAAAAGAAATTTAGACAAATTAAACTTAAAAGTTTATTTGAGCACATTACAATTTATGAACCAGGCAGCACTCAGAACCAGCAGCAGCTCAGAGAGTTTAACCCACCAGCATGAGCAGGGAGCATTCATAGTCCAGAAACAAACAGATTAGACCAATCATCTGATTGACAACAGCCTGTGGTTGGCTGATATCAACTGCCTGTGATTGGCTGAAACTGCTGTTGAACAGAACTTCTGTGGTGGGGGTTTGTCTATATTTTAGCTTAGGTTGCAGCTGGGAAATCATAGTAAAGAGACAGCTTTGGGTTAATGACCAAATGCTTATTTAATTTACCACTGCAAATATAATCACATTCTGACATTTTGGGGGTTCGGACCAGAGGAAAGACTACGTGAAGACACAGCAATAGGGCAGATTCTGGAAGTCAAGGAGAGGTGCTCCAAAGAAACCCAACCTACTCATGACTTGACCTTGAGCTTCAGACCTCCAGAACTGTCAAAAAATAAATTTCTGTATTTTAAATCTCCGTGTTTTTGTGATGACAGCCCTGGTAAACTGCTGTAAGTTATTCACAGCACCTCAAACAATTGTTTTGTAATTTTGCTATGACCATGACAGTTTGGAAAGATTAACATTCAGCTTTAGTTATTTTATAAATGCAAACCTTCAAAGCTTTCCTCTATCACTGTAGCATGCTTATGGACTGGTGCATGCAATTAGAAAGTCAAAGGAAACCCAGTTTGTAAACAGATCATGGAACTTTCTGGCACATGTGTAACTTGTAATAATCTAACATGTGCCAAAAACATTCATATGTGCCAATAATAATTCATCGACATGAATACCAGTTCCTGACAATGTTGGAGATTTGCCTGTGCTCCAGTAGCGCTGCAGCCATTGGGTGCTTATTAGGAATATGAAATCTACAGAGTCCAGGTTTACTGAATCTGTAGTCTCGGAAGAAACCCACCAAGTCACATGCACATTATGAGATCTGTCATTGCATAGTTTGGTGGCTACATGTAGTAGGCTTCATTTTCAAACTATAGCCCATTGTAGTTATTAAAAGAGTTCTAAGGCTTCATCAGGGATTGCAGAATCACTGGATGCAGAAATTTTGCACTTATAATCGTTTTACGATCAACTAGACTATGGCAAGGATGCACCCACAATTACTCTTTTCCCATTCCATTTCAAAGGGTGGTGACATTCCTTCCACCTTTCCATGTGAATTTGAGACCTCCCACAATTCGACTCCAGGTATCTCCCATTATCCACTCTCAGTGTCACAGAGGTAGAGACTTGGCCTCAGTTTTGATTGTCCCCAAATGACTGCTGCTTAGGTGGCTGAAAACAGAAAAAGGAAGAGGTAACAGAACAGTGGAAGGAACAGGGGAAAAGTGACTCAAGCACTTAATACAGTTTACTTGGAAACAGAGCAGTGAAAAGTGAGAAACTATCTTCTGAATGGGTGTGTCGGCTGAGAACTCACTTTGCAAATCATAGTTAAAAAGGGGCAAGTAAGCTGAGACAGCAGTAGCTGACAGTAGCCCTCTACAGCCAGAACTGAACTGACTTAAGTGAAGTCTCATATCCAGTGGGAAAAAAAGACAGTGATTCTGTTCTTTCACCTTCTGTTTAAAATGAAATGTGGATACAGTGGCAAATCCACAACCAGCATAGGTCATTTGTAGGCCTTGTTTGTTGAAAATTTTCTCCTCAACCATACAGATTTTAAAGCTCTTTTGAAGTGGGTGTACACCTGTGTGTGATTAATTATTGACTATTTTATAATCAGAATGTTTGGGACTTATGAAGCTCATGTATTTTTTAAATTTGAATCTACACGTGGTCAACCTAGGCTATACAATTTTACCAGTCACATGCACATAATCTATACTATAATAAATCATTCCCATTACTGAAAATTCAGAGTAATTCAAAATTTTTATTAATTCCATTTAAGTCTTTACAAAATAGAGGTAGGATTAAAGCAGTATGTAGAATTTCCTTCATCTCTAGAATTGATAGTTTAACATTGGTGTGTCCTTGGAAAATTGCAAAATCTAAAGATCTAAAACGCTACAAGGTGACTACCAGGAATATCTACACAGTGATACATGTGTGGGTAGAGCTGAGTCACAGAAATGCAGGTGCGGTGTGACATTTCCAGTTGGCTAGGGGAAGAATATATTTGTACTTAGGGTTTTTTCCTTAGCCTTGACCTATTCATGAATGATTTTAGAAGATTTTTAAAGTGAGACTATTCCTTCAAATGAAACGTACATGCAAAGTTCTTTACAAAAAACCTTCTATTGGTCATTTCAGTTATTATAGATGCCTCCTCCCCCTCTGCCCCGGCTTGCTGACACTTGGGGAAATCTACTCTTACAAGCCATAGCGAACCAATAAGTTAGTTTTTGTCACATTATTTACACTGGCACAAATTTCTGATTTTATTAGGTTTTATCTGGAATGCAGAGTAATTTTTTTCTTAAGCTGTCAACCTAAACATAGAAATTATAATAATTTTTTTAAATCTCAATGAGTTCTACTGCGAAGACAAGATGATGTGACTAATCTCAGAAATTGACTTGGGGTAGGAAAACCCTACAACTGGTGATGAAAACATTAAAGCAAAAATAATCAGGAAACAAGTGATTGTTACCTAGCATTTTTGTTGGTGGAAAACCCTATTTTCAAATTTCTACCAGGAAAAGTCTCTCTTTGGCAGCTTGTCAGTGGTAGCACGTGGCTCCCGAGCTTTCACTGTCAAATCTCCATGCCTCTTCGGAACCAATCCCTATTTAAAGAAAGAACAGCAGTGAGGCGAGGTTCAAGTGAATGGGACTGGTCTTTGTCAACCAGTTAGAACCATTAATATTCCTTTTTCCAAATGCTATTTTCCTATACTTAATAACTATTTTTAAGAGACCCAGATATATTTTTCCCAAAAGTAAGTTTTCTAGTGTTTTAATTAATAGAAATATCTATACCTTTATCCCTATCAAAGCTGAAGAGCAGTAACAATCTTTGGAAAGTTCCCTAAGTTCAGCGATGTTCTCTCTGAGTATGGAACACCTTTCCTGTTATTACGTGTGGATACAGAGTATGTGATACTTTACTTGTGCACAGAAAATATTGGTTTTGATTCCAAAGTAATTTTAAAAAGTGAAGGTAATGTACAAAGGGACTTAGCAACTCTGCTGAACTAAAGGGCCCCAAGACACTCCTAAGAATGGCGACTTCTGGAGCCTTCCTGTGCATTTCTGAATCAGAATCTGCGGAAAAGCCTGTGTGTGTGTGTGTGTGTGTGTGTGTGTGTGTGTGTGTGTGTGAGTGAGAGGGAGCAGGAGGGAGAGAGGACTCCCCAGGTTACTCTGAACAGCCTATTTCCACACATGAATTTCTGAGCCACTAATCTGGGAGGCAAGAATGAGCTGGAGGGCACCAGTCAATCTTTTCATTTTAGGTGTAAGTTGTAAATTAGAAAAAAAACCCCTCAAATATGAAGCTCTTAATAGAAGTTTATGCGTAAGTATGGATGAGGATTTTAAAATCCATCATTAATCTAACACGGACTGCTGAGAATATTCTTCTCACTTGGGATGGTGGAAGTGAGTTCAAAAGCCGATCTGTAACCACTTGGTTCTGGAGCTTTTCCTTTTCCTCTTTACCTTTCTTCCTTTCTGCATTTCTCATTTATTCTTCCGATTAATATTTTATGGTACTGGAAACAGGGAGTGAGATGAAGTGGATAAAAATGCTGATACTTTTGTCCCAATCCCCATAAAGTAATAGTCGTATTAAAGGGGATGCTTCTCCTTCGCTGTGGTTTGCTGTGTTTCTGAGTCCCTAAATATCACAATAATGACAAAAACCTCCTGAGAATATTGAAGTTACAGGTTCAGTTCCCCCACTCTTCTAGGTGAAGATAATGTTGCTAGTCTGACCCCGTTTTGGGGTAGCCCCGAGTCGTTTGTAACTGCGGCTCTGGGATAGCTCATCCTGGCTGGTGAGTGAATGAAAGATCCTGTGGTTTCCATCTCACCGTGAAAACGGTGTGCTTCACGTGGACTTGTAATATCTCTTTTCTACACTCTATGGAGGAATACATCCTCTTTATGTGTCATCAGTGTGCTGATACAATTCTTAAACTAATGTAGATCCACAGTCAGTGTTTGGTGTGGCTGAAGGTGATTGTTTAATAGACACAAATAATACATTTACAAAGGTAAAGGTTAATGTGAAAGGAAAGCGCAAAGTCAGGCAAAATACCATTTAGACAGATTCAAATTTTCTAAGCACTAACCACAAGAAAGCGAAAAAGGATGCCCTTATCACAAGCCTGTGTATTTAGCACTGTTTCTCACTTTTGTTGAAATAGGTATATCAGGCTACCCAGTTGCACCACTATCTCTTTAACCACATACTTCCTCGTTTGCTAAGCAACTACTTGATAGTTTGCCATTCACTTTACATGCCGGGAAAAATACATTGCTATACACCAATTCTCTGAGCATTTCTCAGTCTGTCTCATTTTAGGTACTAATCTTTAGCTGACAAGCAGGTAGTCAAGTCAAAGACATAGAGCAAATCTTAGCAAGCCAATGTACATATCAAAATCTGGGTGGGGAAGAACATGGACCTTTACGATGTCCGTGGTACTTTTTCTGATCAAAATCTCTGAGATTCTGACTCGGGTGGAGTAAAGACAAGGGAAACATTCGTAGCAGGTATTCCAAATATTTGTGCTCCGGGATGTGGAAAAGTCCCTGTGGAGAAACGCTCCTAGGCATGACTTCAGGTAAGGCTTTCTAGGGAGGCATCAGTCTAGTTTTCCTTGACTGAAACCACAATTTCTTTATGTCTCCGCTTTTCCACAACACTAAGTAATATGTGTGCCTTGGGTTTCTAGATAGTACTCCTAATGTTATAATGAAATTTTGATAAAAGATATTTATAGCCACAGTAAAAAAGGGAATGATTGTTTTGCAAATTTGCATCAGTCATAATTCAGTAAAAAAAAAAAAGGAAGATTTATTTTCTGCCTCTAACATGCTTCAGCAAGTTTGGAAAATGAATACATACTAAGTATTGATAATAAATATAAATGTAACTTATCAAATGCTCAATCTTCTGACTAAATAACAGTAGTTTAAAAAACTCTCTCTTCTAATTATTTCATATCCATATTTTATTTTAAGTAAATTTATAGTTTGCATGGCCCGTGTGCACATGTGTGCACACATGTGTGAGCACCTGTGTTGTAGCTGTGTCTCTCTGCTGTAGCCCTGGTCCTTTTCATGATTAACAGGGTGGGTGCAGTCGTCTTTAGTTTGCTCCATGAAGAACACGACCTCAGGTACAAGGAGGACTGTCCTAGAGAGAAAAGTAACCATGATGACATGGAAAATAAAATTCAGCAGAGACACTAAGGTTGAATTAGTAGTGAGCTTCAGGTGAAATTTTGTGCAGATGAGAATATGCTCTAACTGTAATATTAGTAGCAGTGATAGAAAATAAAAGAATTTCGGTTCAAACAGGGTGTGCTAATCCTGTAAACTTTTAGAAGTATCTTAATCTCTTTGGGCCCCATTGTTCTATGTCAGCTTACAGGATGTAAAGTGTATGATGTCTTAGAATCTTTTGAGCTCTCAAAGACAGTGGCCCTCCGATCCTCTTGCATTACACTTGTGTTTTTCGAAGGTGTGTTGAAATAAATATCTTACTTTAGCCCTGAGTCTTGTGATCCATCTGTATTGCGGCTTTGCTTACGTTTGGGATGTATGCAATTCTAACGGCAAAGCTTGGCAAATGACTGCTACACCTTTAAAATCATGTGTTACATGTTGTTGACACACGCTGATATTTCTCAAAATGGAAAAAAAAATGCCGTCCCATATTTATCTCCATCTGTGTTCACAGGAAGTCCAGCACAATTGCCAGCTTCATAGAATATCATTTTGTGCAGATGATAAAACCGACAAAAGGATATTCACTTTCATATGCAAAGATTCCGAGTCAAATAAACATTTGTGCTATGTATTTGACAGCGAAAAGTGTGTAAGTATGCCAGATGTTTTAGGGTGGTTTGTTCTGTTTGGTAAGCCAAGAATTGTCTTGTTTCCGGCATTAGTGAAGTATTTAGAAATGCAAAGGTCTGAAAATACTTAGCTGCACTAATAGATTCATCCTGTCATGAGAATAAGATTCAGAATTTTATCCTTAACTAATTTCTTATGTTCACGAGCGTAGGCTTGCATACAAATTTCTTTCCTCAGAGCATTACCTCTGCTTAATGCTATGCATTTATATCTCCTAAAATCATTTCATTTATTTGTAATCTTAATCTAAAAAAATGATCACAAAAAATAAAATTAAAAAATGATCACACAGTGAGAAAAGCAATGGTGAGCGTTTCTTTACTTTCCTAAACCATAAAGTTGTGGATGAAAATACTCTAAACTCCAAGAAATAAAGTCCGTACGATTCCTTAAAAATTATTCAATACTTTGAAAAATTGGATCCTGACGTTATGTAGATGATGTAATGAGATGAAAGATAAGAGTATTGTAAATGTGTGTGCATACTTGCTTTGAATGAAATCTGAAGTTCTTAGCAAATCAGGGCAGTTGGAAAATTCCGCAGTTAAGTCATGAAAGTGTTCTTTAATCATCTGGAATCTTAAGGAAAACCCTGTGTCTTGCTTACAAGCACAAGCTAATTCTAATCATAACCTAGTCCCAGTTCCTATAATAAAACACAAGATGGGAATTCCTAGCCCACACTACAGCCATTGATGTCTTCAATGAGGAAAAACATCTGATCTCAGTGGCATTGTTGGTTTAGAGAGGAACAGAACTTAACTCATTTCTGTAATCTATTTCCTTGGTTTCAAAAATTGCAGATTACTAATATTATCATCATCATCACTGTTGTGTAACTTTTCTCTCTGGTTTCAGTATGTAAGCTTCTTGAGCACAGTTTCTTTTTCGCTATAAGTGTGATTCCTGTAGCAGGCGAACAATAATCGCCCTGTAATCTTTTCCTTAAGTAAAACACAACATTGAAAATTTGCCCAAAATAGCAGATGTCATTTCCTGTGTCTTTTAAACAGTAGTGCTTTTAAAAGGCCAGCTAAAGCCAGGCATGGTGGCGCACACCTGTAATCCCAGCCCTCGGGAGGCTGAGGCAGGAGGATCACTGTGGGTTCGAGACCAGACTGGGCTACATAGTGAGTTCCAGGTCAGTCTGAAATACATAGTGCGACCCTGTCTCAGAAAACAAAACAAAACAAAACAGAAAAGCCAGCTATTGTGCTAGGCTACGTGGCACCCTAATACCTTTTCAGAATTTGGCAAACATTGTGGGATAGCTTATCTGGAAAATGTGCATCGTCATACAAGGAGGCATTTGATGTGAATGTAAAATTATTTTTAAAATTTATCCTACTGATGAGCACATATTTACATATTTCAAAAATATCCAAGCAATGATTATTAGGACTGGGGTGTTTTTTCTCTGTGAGATTGAAACTGTTGAAGTTGATATTTGTTGAATATCTTCTATGTGGAAGACATAAACTTTTACCAATTGCACCAGATGATAAATTCAGACATCTTTCTTCCTTGCCTCACACACAAAGACACTTCCTTGGTGTCCTCTGAATGAGCATCACCAGAGTTCAGTGAAACATCAGGCTTCTTAAGATTTATACCACTTCTTTATCTTTCTCTAGTATTCATCCAAATTAGCTGCTTTAATGTAAAATGCAAGCTTGCGAGAACCTCTTAACAGTCATGTTGTTTCGGAAACATCATCTTTACTCCTTCCCAATCATAATTTTCTGCCACTAGAGATTGAGCTCAGTGGCACCATGCCTGTTTTGCAAGTGCATGGTCCTGAGCTTGATCCACGGTACCAAAAAAAAAAAAAAAAATCTGTAATTGGTTACCACAACTTGAATTTTTAAAGTTTATTCTGTCTTGATATAATTTAACACACTTCTTTTTTCTTCAAGGTTGAAAATAATATATTGAGTGTTAGAGCAATGCTTCAGAATCACATATGTGCATAAACTTGTTAAAAGGTGCCTTAAAGTATACTTCATGGTGGCTGAGGATTTAGCTCAGTGGCTGTGGAGCCTGTTTCACAAGTGTAAGGGCCCGAGTTCAATCCCTGGTACCCACCCCCAAAAATATACATATATATATGTATATATATTTCTTGGATGTCACATTAATTTTGATTTGGGGATGGACCTCTGGAAATCCACCTTTACCAAGTGCACCAAGTAATTCTGCTGCAGGTGAAAGGAGGGCTGGGTTTTGAAACACAAGGATGAAAAATGTTTTACCAGCTATATGTTGGCATCACCTTCATGAGCTCAGAGAAAATATTTTCTGAATTTTATTACATCACTTTCATATGAATTTTAATTGTCATTAAATGACAAGTATGAGTATAACATTGATTTTATATGTATGCAGAAATTTTAATGTCATCTTTTCTTTTTTTTTTCATCTTTTCTAAATCTCATATTAAATAATTACTAAGAAATGTTAAGTAAAAAAAGAAATTGTAGTCTAACTGGCATAACTCTTTCCCCTTATTTTAAGATAAGAGGCCCAGATGAACTGAATTTCCCAAAGTTATAAAGTTAAGTAATAATAGAAGGAGGACAGGAATCCAGACTTAATATTCCCCTCATCACGTTTGCCCTATGGTGTCAGCATGCCTCCCCTCACTGTGCCAGTGAGGCCCACAGTGAGACAAGATATGCATCCTACCAATATATGTATGGAAATTTTAATGTCATCTTTTCTTTTTTTTTTCATCTTTTCTAAATCTCATATTAAATAATTACTAAGAAATGTTAAGTAAAAAAAGAAATTGTAGTCTAACTGGCATAACTCTTTCCCCTTATTTTAAGATAAGAGGCCCAGATGAACTGAATTTCCCAAAGTTATAAAGTTAAGTAATAATAGAAGGAGGACAGGAATCCAGACTTAATATTCCCCTCATCACGTTTGCCCTATGGTGTCAGCATGCCTCCCCTCACTGTGCCAGTGAGGCCCACAGTGAGACAAGATATGCATCCTACCACTCCATCCTCCCCAGGTGAGGAGAAGAAGTGCTTTCTACTGTCATTTCCTAGAACCATTTCATAGGAAGTTACAAAAAACAGGAGATTTATACAACTTCCAGAATCCATAACCAACTATCCAAAATAGCCAGGGTTTAACTGAAAATCAGGCTTCACGACAGGAAACTGAAAGATCTTAAACTAAATGAAAACATTCACCAACCAGATAGATCTCAAAATCAGGATGCCAGAGATATTAGAATAAGATTTCAAAACAAAGAACAAAGGTTTTTAAACAACCATCATAAAATAGAATATAAAGAGTAATTACAAGTGCATTTAAACAAATAGCAAGTCCTAGTAATGAAATATAAAAATCTAAGCAAAGAAATAGAAGACATAGAATCAATGGCCTGGAAATTTTACTAATACAAGTTCCAGGTCTGACAAGCATAGGAATCCTAGCCGCATCCACACAGCCCAGTACACTAACAGAAATGAGAATGAAGCAGAACTTAAGGGACCCGAGGGGCTGAAGTCAAATGTGCAATATTCATGTGGCATCAGAGTCCTAGAAAGAAGAGAAAGAATGGACCCAGCCTGGAGCACAGAAAGAAAGGAAGCAAAAGAAGGAAGGAAGAGAAGAAAGACAGGAGTGGAGAGAGGGGAAAAGGACAAGAGGAAAGGAAGGAAGAAGAGAGGGAAAGGAGTAAGGAAGAGAGAATCACTAATACATTCTTACATTTGGAAAATAACTAAGCCCATAGTCTCAAAAATTGAGTTGACTACAGCAAGAAATAGAGCATGATCAGATTTTTAAAAATTAAAGACAAATACAAATCTTCAGAAAAGCTGAACAACACCTGACCTGGTTATCGAGGATATAGAATAACTCAACATCATGAACAGTCGGACTCTGATGACGTTGCAGCGGGCTCCACCAGCAACCACAGAACACACGTGTTTTTAAGTATTCGAGGAGCATCTACTAAAATAGACTTTATTGTGAACTACAGAACATTCCTCCGATTTTTTTTAAAAAATTGAAATCATAACCTGTATGGCCATAGAGGAAAAACATGTGAAACTGTACAGAAAGATAGCGCTAAAATCTTCAAGCTCTTGAAAAGGGCACATCATTCTTGCATACTCCACACATCAGAGGAATTAGAAAAGGAAAGTTTTAAAAACTGAGTGGAATGAATGAACGTGCAACACGTCACATTCGTAAGACAACTAAAGCAGTGTTGAGAGAAAAACATCCAAAGTAAGGCAACAAATTAGAGGAGAGGAAAGTCTGAAGTCACAGTATGTCTCTTCTCACATAGTCAGTGCTTTAAAAATATTTGAGAAGACTCTACCCCCATCCGTGGCTTAAAAACTCGTAATAGTTGAAATAGAAGAAGACTTCAACTTGATTGAAAAAGCTATAACAACGACAAGTATTTTAATGATATAAGCATGAATGTTTTCTTTCTAAAATTTAGGGGGAAAAGCAGGGTTCAGGGCTTTCTGCCATCACCACTCTTATAAAAGCAATGTTCAAAGTTGTAGCTGTTGCAATGAGGTAAGAAAGCGAATTAACAATACACAGATGAAAAAGGAAGAAATAAAACTGTCTCCATTTGCAGATGACAGGATTGTCTGTAGAAAACTTGGAGCGTGGCTGAAAATACCACAGTCTAATAAGTCAGTGCACGAAGGTGGCAGTATGCATGGTTAACCTCTGCAAATCAATTGTATCGATGTGTTCTAGCCATGAACGTGTGGATACGAAAGTCAGCCAGTGCTTAAGAAAATAAAATACCTAGGTGGAAAACTGACTTAAGATGTTAAAGTTGTACAGTACTCGTGTAGTGGAAACTACAGTTCACTTAGGAAAGTAATGATAGAAAATCTAAATGAGAGACATCATGTCTAGTAGAAGTTAACCCAATTTCCGTCAAAAGATTTTTCTCACAGCATATAAATAAGATTA